CCGCTGCCTCTCAGGTCCATTGTTTCATGGCATTGTAAACCTCATCGTCGGTAGAAAACCTTCTTCCACCCATAAACATCTTCAGAGAAGAGAAAAGGTAAAAATCAGAAGTTACCAGGTCAGGACAGGTTCACGGCACTCATCTCAACGTGCCACCACAACAACAGTTCTCAACTGACTAAGTCAAGTGAGCAAGCGTTCTACTCTCAATACCTTGGCCTTGAATACAGTATTACCAACTACTATGTCGAAACGAAAAACCACCGAGCATTAGAGTCTCAAGTACTCTTACTTTGTGGATATGCCTCGTAAATATATTTTTTACCAAGTTTTTCGATTCGGATTTTTTTATTATTTTACAGAATGTAAATGACATGATCCAACTGGAGCGGCCAGACTGGCAACAAGTAATGTCGTATGTGACGGCCATCTACAAGCATTTCGAGACTTAAAAAAAAAGAGTAAAACATTGCATTTATTATTTTCTGTGATACATCTCTTTACATTTTCAATTATATTGAGCAGAATAAGAGTAGAACTGAAATGTGGAATGATTTTCCGTGAAACTTTATTGATTGTCCAATGATTTGTAGCGTGAAGTAGCGTCGTAAATTTCTTGGATCGATTCAACCGTAGACGGAGCGTTTTGTCATAGAAACAAATTCCTTTTAAAATACCGTAACATGTTTTTTGCCAAAGAAAACATAATTTTAATTTGTTGTAATGTTATTAGCGATTTTTGATAAATGTTTTACATATAAAGATTATATTTAAAAATATTTTATATTGATATTTACTCACGTTTGTATATCTAGTCAAGTGTTAGCAGATAATATTGATGTATATGTAATATTAATATTTAGCAAAGTGTACTCTGCATTGTTCTCAACTCTTTAACAGACTCGAAGCTTGAAAAAACTTTTATGTGCGAGGCGGTAACGGATCGATTTTCAGGGGGTGTGAATTTGAGTAAAAGTTCCTCATTTCTTCTTCAAAGTTTGCTAGTACACTTTGTATAGGTTTAGTTTAACTTTTGCTAAGTGGGACTTCCACATGTTCTAGTATATTTAGTGAGTTCTTCTTATTTATTTGCGTATTTAATTCATCTTTAAGCCTTCAGTAGTATCTAACGTTCTGTATAAACATACACGGGGGCCCTTGAAAAACAAAATATTCAAGTTCAGTATTGGTGTCGATATTTTCCAAGTGAAAATAAATTTTTCCATTAAAAATTATAACCACCGGCAGATTCTAGCTACAGGTTTTAATTACTTTTAAAAAACAAATTGGTCAGATATCAATATTAATTCTTTTTAATTTTATGCTAAAAAGGAAAAGAAACGGGCAAAAATCAACAAAAAGAATCATACCAACACTTATCTAATTTCACAATTGAGTAAAAAATAAATAGAAACACCGAAATCACCCTTTTACACATAAATTTAATTCTTCCACTTAGGTATATTGTCCAGTTTAATATCTTGAAATATTTAAGAAGATTAAAGATTAATTTTTGAAGATATTTCATTTTGTTTGACATTCAAACTTCAAACATTTTAAATAGTCATTTGACATTTGACAGACTCAAATGGAAAGGAGCATTCTATTTAACTGATCTATCTAACCTGAAGTAGTAGATTAATTAAATCGAACTTCTTTTTTTGTTTAACCTTAATTTTGTTTGTATAGTGGTGTAAAATTTAAAATGTTATTTGTAATTTTGTGTGTTTATTTGTTTATGCAGCAACTTATTCCTGCATGTGAGGTATGTTAACTAATTTTTACTTCATTTAACAACTTGTCACAATTTCTTCATAAATTATTTCTCCAAGAATTGTAAAATTAGATCATTGATATCATTCCTTGTATTTATCATTTGCATTTCATGTTGTATATATTCCCCATACTAATTAATTAACATGATAACAAAGATCATTCAATATAATTTCACTTTACCTATTTTGAACAATAAATCTCTTATCTATAATTTTGAGGTTATTACGCATCTGCGCTAAAATTATCAAGGGGACCCGGATATTACTAAAACTTAAATTGTTAGTTATAATTGTGATTAATTGCCCAAGTAGACCATTAAATGAATTATAACTTTCTGAATTCATAATTTCTGTTAAATTCTGCAAACCTATTTGTAGAGTCAATTTATAACTTGCGTTTTTGATAGCTTGGCCTTGTTTGATGGACAAAGCGGCCCCCGTGAGGTTTAAAATCTAAGACTGTTTAAAAATTAAATGAATATTTACTTAATTCATTGTATCTGTATTTAAGGAATGAGTTTATTGTATAAAATAAGGCGAACGGTTTAGGATATTAGGCATGCTTGTCATGAAGGAATAATACTGTAACCTTTCTGCTATAAGTACTTGTGTTGATTCTTTTTAACTCATATATAGAACTGTATTATAACTAAGTCTCACTCAAAACTCGCTATCGGTATGTATTTATATAACTGTGGAGGTGACGGACACATTTAAGATCGAATTTTTGCAATGACAAAAAGAATTTCAAGGTTAGGAATGGGGTTCTATTATAGAACTTAGCCTGTTACAATTTGGGTTAGGAATATAACGGAAGCTACTTTGGAACTGTTATTAAATGTAAGATATGCCCCGTTCTAGTTAATGGAAATTATGTAAACTATGGAAATTTCTTTCGTAAAAAATATGATAGCTTCAAAAAACTGTATTACTACATAAATTAATCTTTTGTGCCTCCGGCTTTACAGTTTTGCATAGTTTTTAGTGAGATACTATATAACAGTGATTTTTTTTGTAGTTAGAAAGTTGCCAATTTCCTTTTGTTGTTATATTTAAAGTTATTATTTTGTATAATTGTTTGTGGAAAATAAAATAATGTAACAGATTTATATTTCTATATTCTTTGTCTCCCCTTATAAAATCTGGGTTACCCACAAGAATTTTTTCCCTAAGAATGTAACAAAACATATTTTTTGGGATATTTTACACTTTTAGATAACATAAAAAATAATAAATCAACAATTTGATAAATACAGAATGTTGCAATATTGCGGTGAAGTGATTTTCTCTCCAAAATTAAGAACAATGGTTTTTTTGTGAAGGTAAGTCCACTAATGCTTCAATATTGATATACAGGGTGTTACATGATTTAAAATAAATAGGATTTAGATTATATTCAGTTCACCTGTTTTAAATTTGAATTTGAACATTTGGTAAGATTTTAGTTATTCTTTTTTATGTATTTATACAGGGTATCTGTAGAACAGTGATGATATTAGAGATTTTTTATGGAAAATCCAACAATGTGGATAAATTCAGCACCCTTTGCTGCAACATCTGTACCCCAAGTTTAATTTATTTATAATTATTTTTATGAAACCTTAAATTTTTATTATCGTTGAAAATTTGGTTTTTTAAGTCAGTGTTGTCTTTTCATGGCCATCTTAGAGTAAAATTTCAGATTTAGAAAAAAGTAACAGCTATAAATTAGTAAAACTTTTGGAGTGGGGACTTTAAAGGGATTTGAATTAAACAAAGTAAGATTTTCCATAAAAGAATATACCCCTCTAGAAAAAAATCTAAACAAGTCGCGTAATGTCACCATCATATAGTTCTTGGCTCTGTGGATGCATTAAAATATATTCAAAATTTTAAAAATTGTCAAAATTGTACAATACAGTAAAATTTGCCAAGTTGTTTTGGGATTAAATCTGAGTGCCCTGTATGTATGTATGTCGGAGGGTGGTGGAATTGTTTTTCCACCGCGGCACTTAGGCCTTATTAGACCCCTTGTACACCCTCCTTCATTACTCGAGTACTTTTCTTCAGTGCCCTGTATATTTTAACATGATCCATTTAAAATTTGTGTGGAAGATTTTTTAAGAACCAATGAAATATACTGAAATTGGTAGGAATAATTCATTACCCTCGAACAGTCCCATGATGCCTTCAACATTTAATGTCCTACTCGTCTGCCGTTTAATTCGATGATTTTTATGATATATAGGTAAGTTTATAAATTCACTGGGAAAACATTTGAACAATTAGTGCACTGAATCGAGAAATGACATCATTTCAGTGTTTGATGGATCAATGATACCATTAAAAAAATGTTTCCATTGTTTTCCATTTTTCTCTAACTTCACTATTTTGACAAACAATAAAAAAACAAAAATTGAGCTCAAAATAATTATGTAACTATATTTACATTTACATATACAGGGTGTCCCAAAATTAATGCAACAAAATTTGGCCATAGATTCTTAAGACATATTTAGGGGATCTGTATTTTTTATTTTGCCAAGTAGCCCCCTTTTTTGGAGTTACAGCCCCAAAGAATAGTCATTTGTAGAATCACTAAATTTGGTACACAGGGGTTTTATGACATGTGGAATTGATAGTGCTACACTTTTTGGCGGGGAACCCCCTTAAGACACTTTTTTGGAACCAAAAAAATATACATCACATATTTGAATTTCTTAAAAATTATTAGTTCCCTAGAAAACCATTGCAGTTAGAAACTTTTTTATCTCTTGATATTTTTTCGTAAAATGCAATATTTGAGAAAAATGGCGAATCACGGTATGCATTTGATCACATTTTGACATTTTTCTGAAAAACTTTACGAAAAAAGTATCAAAGGACAAAAAAGTTTCTAATTTTAATTACTGTCTAGTGGACTAATAATTTTTAAGAAATTTAAAAATGCGACTAAATTTTTTTTGGCAAAGACGAGGATCCATGAACAATTGTCTTAAGGGGATTTCCCGCCAAAAAGCATAGCACTATCAGATTACACATGTCGTAAAGCCTCTGTGTACCAAAAGCAATTCTCGTACAACAGGGTCCTGAGATATAAAAAAGAGACTATTCTTAGGAGCGGATTTCAGGGGGTTGTAACTCCGAAAGAGGTCCCCTCTTGGCAAAAATAAAAAATACGGGCCCTAAATTTGTCTTAAGAATCTGTGACCAAATTTTGTTGTATTAATTTCGGGACACCCTGTATATACTTAAATTTTTCTTTCTTGGTATAAAATGATTTTTAAAATGGTTGTCAGTATTTTTCATCACTTTCTGAAGTGATGAAACTAGTTTTGCTACTGCTAGATTATTTAAATTAAAATAAGTTCCATTTCAAATATCTTTTAATGTATTATTTAAACTTTTACCATTTACATCATTTCCATCAATCTCCGATATCCAAATCTGATGGATTTAAGCACATTTAATAAAAAATGGTTCAATGGAATGCATTAAACATGCATAATTGATTAAAATTTTGATGGATCTTTTTCATTTTTCTTGGTTGAATATAAAAATATTTGAACCCTAGTTGATACTATTTTTGAATTGATTTGTTTCATTGGTATTACGTATTTGCCCTAGGGCATAGGGCATTGTAGACATTCATAGTGCCTTAGGGCATTATTCCTCATTTATGCTTATTACAAAATGACATTTGTAGGTTATTAAAATATTTTTTATAGGGCACATCAAGAGGAATCACCCTCACCCAGAAATGAAGCATTGATGATGTTTATATGAATTGTTTTTTTATTTTTGGTCTGTAGAAAATTGTTGACAAAATACTGCGACACCCTGTATGATATCCATTATAATTAAGACTAGAACAATTTTAATCTATCTGTAGAGTCCTAAAACTTCCTTGAATGTCAGATTCTTTAAAATATAAGTTGTTATCAATTTTCTTTGGTATCGTCTTGGTTATTTTCATATTCTCCTGCTCAAGAAACCACTCTTCGTTATTATTTAATATTTTCCAATGAACTTTCATTAATTCTTCTAGAGATTTACACTTTCCGCCATAATTGGAGGGTAATATTTCTTTACCGAAGTAATCACAAAGGGTTCTACTGCTACTGTGGACGTTAAACTGAAATTAAATAAATTGGGTCAATGTGGGTATTGCGGTTAGGCAAATTCATTATTCTCACATGGTTTACTATATTTCCCGAACAGGCAAATTATAAAAGAATGTTTTGGGTTTTAAAAAGAGGAAGGAAGCGGTGTTGAAATTCTTTTATTTGTTTAAAATGTGTTGGATATTTATCAGCTGTCTTACCATACAATCTTCCTCTTTGCTAAAATTTTAACAGGCAATTTGTTCATTTTTCCTTTATGTGGGACACAGTAGCATAAATAATAAATTTCTAAATTTACTTTGCCCAAATGACTGATCTGATTTTAGTTGTAGTTTCAAGAATTTCACGGCCTATGCTGTTATTTAAAGTTCTATTTTATTTTGGTTTGTTATGCTATGGCCTATGCACCTGGTCGCCGCCAGTTACAACTTACAATGCACTTCCTTAGCCTTAGCCAGAAATCTTTGACCTGCCCTTGTTTTCAAGCCAGGCTTTGACCGGTCTTTGTATTGACTTCAGTTTTTGTTGGTTCAAAGGCGATTAGAAGCAGACATACTCCTCAGACCACTGGTCATGTGCGATGCTTCCAAATTTTTTGTTTTTCGTCTTCAGAGATGACTCTGCAAAACCTTTGCAACGACTAAATCTCAGTTAGAACCAACAACAAGAACTAAAATTAATATCAGGCCAGTCTTAGGCGTTTAATAGAGTTGCCTTGCCCCCCCACAAATCCTAGCCCAAGACAATAAAAGCAGGTACATAGAGCACAGCATAACCCGAAAAACTGTGGAAATTTAAATAATGTGATTTCATTTTCTTTTATAATTATTATTCCTCGGTGATAATGACCAATCAAACATGTTTATTCATATTTCAGTTCTCAGTATATGCAGGACACATGAAAGAATAAGTTTTTTTTTTGAAATTTGAAACATCCTGAAACACCTGGGATATGTACTTCAATTTGGCCCATTCTATAAGTCTTAGGGTTCAATCCATTGTAACTCTGCTTATGTTATTAAGACCGTGATATTTTACAAAGATAAAAGATTTGTGAGATTTTGCAGTAAATTGATGAATGACATAACATAATATAAAAAGTACGGAGAAGACTGCTTTATGCCATGTTTTATGCATGACAGCAATTTAATAACATCATGCCCATAGTCGTTTCCAAGAAACGAAATGAATTACAAATAATCTCGGTATAAATATAAACATATATGCTGCTATTAACGGAATTAGTGGATAATTATCCCGATAATTTCATTTCAGAATGGATAAATAAGGCTTTTTGAGATAGGTAATTAGATTTGGATCCAATATAATAAAGAGTAATGCTGAATACTATAAAATTAAAAAAAGTGTAAAAGCTTTGTAATTTTCAGTCAGCGAATAAGCAGTATGATTTTGGAAAAATAAAATACACAGCAGTAGATGCAGGCATGTATTCCTGTGTGACCTCCGAGTTGCTAAATAATCATGTGTTTACTAATTATTGCGGGGGTAATTCAATGTTGAACGGGGCTATAGTTCGCAGAGTAGTTGTATCCCACATTATCATTAGTTAAAAATAATAGAGTACCACCGTGTATATTTTTCTCCATGTAAGACATGGTTATCAGTGAGTTTTTGTAAATTCGGTTTGATAAAGATTAATAATTATTTACTTACGGCATTTTTGACTTTATGATGTAGAATTGGTTTGATAACACTCAAAATTTTTTCTAGCAGTGGCGGTGCATTCAGGATATGTATCTCTTTCAGACGTGTACCGTACGCTCGCCTCAAAATTGGGGTTACGATTTTTATTATCGTCAGAAACGTCACAAAGTGATTAGGACTCAATCCTGATCCGTCAAATATGGCTATCTCCCCAGCATTTGGATATTGGCTGGTTAGAGTTAAGTCATCTAAAAGTTAATAAAAAGGAATATATAGAGGTATATATATATATAATATTACCAATAAAGTAAGCATTCGAGAACATTTTTGATCAATCATTTTTGCTTAAAAATAATGCCAAATGGTGCACTTATAGACGGTTTTATGATTTTCTTTCAAACGTCAAATTTGATATATTTTTTAGATGCTAAAATAGACGTTTTCTTAAGATCTAGAAAACATCAGAAAAGTTTTTTTTTTCTATATTGTATCCACCGTTGCAATATTTTCGGCTCAACGGCCAGTACGAGGCCGACCTGTTTTTTAATTGTCTGCAACCGAACCTGTTTATTCAAATTTGGAAACTAGTTGTTTCATTCGAGGCATTCCTTCTACCGAAAATTCTACGTATTTGCACAGTCTCAGCTACACACTCTCCGCACTTACAACGAATTTTCACAATCTTTACTCGCTCATCCATCGTATAGCGCTCCATTTTGTCTAACCGCAACGTGTTTGGTGCTAACTTTTCGAAATGAAAATGGCGCACAATTCAAATCCTGCGTTATTTTTGGGGCGCCCGGTACAGGCTGTTACAAATTCGCTTCTGATTACAGGGATCTCGAAAACGGTAAGAGGTACGAAGTAGCTTAAATGGGGGCAAAGTTACGTAATCAGGGGACCAACATTATGCCTCTAAAAAATTAAGGCTAACATAATATTACGCTGATCGTAATTTTCAACATTTGCCAAAACGAAAATGTTTTTGAATATTTATTGAAATTTTTTAAAGAATAATATTCACTTGACGTTTTGGTTGTTCATATGCATTTTTAAGAATTAATTTGTCATAATAAAATTAAAATTGTAATAATGTTTTAATTTTGACGCAACAACTTATTGAGTTATGTATCACCAAGTGATAGTAATAGTTAATAATAATAAATGTTTTATTGTAACGCGAGGTGGTAATAGTTTAAATAACTAGATGGATTTCACAAGGTCTAACGCCACTTACAGTGTACGATAATTCAATAAACAAAGAAATCTAAATAAAAAAATTCAATAAATTTGGAACGAATACACTGAAGATGAATTTTTCAAGACAAAACGTCTGAATCTGGTTCGGGCTGAGCCAGTACCGTATTGGGGATCATGAAGGCTTGCAAAATATGTCATAAAATTTCTAGGGTCGTATTTAAAGTAATGAAGTTGATGATGGTCCTGGAGAGACGAAACGTTACATATAAAAATTGGTTATGCCATTCGATAGAGGGCAAAAAGTGGCAATGAGAAAGTGTTCTTCTTTTATCAATATCACCTCAAACAAGGCTGAAATGAAACAAAAACGGATTTCCAAAATTTTATTTTTTTTTCAAATATTTCGAAAACTAATCATGTTAGCCTGATTACGCAACTTTGCCCCCATTTAAGCTACTTCGTACCTCTTACCGTTTCCGAGATCCCTGTAGTGAGAAGCGAATTTGTAACAGCCTGTATATAATATTTAAATACTTTTTTAACCATTCATTAATAGTAAAACAAATAAATTTAAATGGTTTCAAGATTTTATTGCAAAATCTAGTTTATTTAGATTTTTTATAATAAACTATTCAAAACAATATTTAGGTTTAGATTCCGTTGAGTTAAAAATGTATTAGGTATTAGGTTAAAAAATATTTAAAACGAATTGTAGTGGCGAATATGAGCAACCAATAGATGGTGCTGTATTTGTTCGATTAATAATATTTTTCTTATGTCAATTTTAGCAGATGTAGAAAATTACAAAATTGCTTTTGTACATTTGGCATTTTTTAAACAAATACGATTGACAAAGCTAAGTATTTCAAAAATGAGTTTATACATTAATAATTTTAATTTTTTTTCGGAATATATGAGGGAAAAATAAATACTCACACATCATGAAAAACAATTTGGTTACCGCATACACATCATAACGAGATGGATCCGTATCTTTTAATTTGTAAATACTAACTTTGTTGCCATTTTCTGTGAATTTTGGCAGGAACACAATGATGCTACAAAAAATAATCGTAAATTATTAATAGTACAGTATGTATAATATGTAGCAAGGGATCAATAGGCACTTATTTTTTATTTTTGCACTCTGTGGTCTGAAATAGCGAAAATTGTCAATTTTTTTTCAGTTCTAATGCAGTTATTTTTGTTAGAGCAGAGAGTACTGCAAATAAATTAGCCCCTGGGGCTAAAAGTGACGCTTTACTCCCCGAACTGAACAATCGAAACAGCATTTTTAGTCCACGGAGTGCAAAAACACTTTACATAAATAACACCTTACACTGTATCCAAAGCTTGTACGACATCAGCAGCGTTTGTAGATCTTCCTGAGAATATATCTGGGTATAAATTTCTGACAGTAAAATTGCACTCCAATTTTGCCTTCGTCCTTTCCATGTCATATTTGCTGCTTCTTAAAAAAGTGCGTATTATTCTTTTATCTGAAATGAATTTTATGATAAAAAAGGGAGCACAGCGGTCCTTTTACATTTGTGCTTGAACAGTCACAAGCGATTTTTTTTACTAAGAATCGGGGTCAAGTGAGATTTTCAAATGAATTATTGGTGTGACGGAATAAAAGTGGTTAAAATGTTTCGGGTTGTCCAAATTCGTTTTGGAACTTTTGTAATGTTTGTAATAAGGGAATGTTAGGATTACGTAATTTCTGTCTTTATTTGGTCTCATTTACTTATGACCTAAATTACTTAAAATTTACGTAAATGGGAGGTAAGTGTTTAAAGAGACGACTTTACTAAGACGTTTTAAGTAACCTCACAAAGTTATAATAACCTATTGGTTATACAATATACTTCCACAGGAAGTTTAAACGTAAGTACCTATTACATTACCACTTAATTTACATAATTTACAATTCTTGTATTACGGTAGCTACTGGGAATCGTATTCAACGAGTGCAAAAAAGTTGCTTTAGGCTCATATTTGGTTTACCTAAGCATCAGTCAGTGTCACACAAATTGAAGGAAATTAACTGGTTATCTATGGAAGATAGAAGTTTATTACATAGCTGTTCCTTATATCATAACATTATATTGACAAAAACACCAAAATACCTGTATGATAAAATAGTATTTAGGCATAATGTACAGGGTGGGCAAATAAGCGAGGTAAGCGGCTGTATCTCAGAAACTAGTGATCGTAGAGAGCTACGGTAAACAATTTTATAGGTAAAGTGGGCAAGGGAAAATGCTGGAAATTATTTTCAAGTTTCCAAGATGGCCGCCAGTGGGCGTTTCCACCATATTGAATTACATAAAGTTACGTTTCTCACGATTTTCCCCAATGAATGTAACAAAAAAGTATTTGCGTTTTAATGTTAACTTAAAGTCGAACATTTTTTGTAAAAACAATTTTTCTCTATCTTTCGAAATAAAGTGGTGGGGGGTATTTGAATGTTGTTTGAAATAAATGCCTGTAACTTCGAAACGGCTTAATGGATTTGGATAAATTTGGTATCATTGAAAAGAGCATTTCTTGGGCTTTTAGGTTTCTCGTAATCATGACAGTTGCGACCTACACGGCCGCCGATAGAGGGCGTTATTCGATATTATAACCAAAATATTGGATTTTCTCAAAAAATTTAAATGCGATGATATGACTTTTTTTAGACTAGAAAATAGACAAATGACCAACCAATAAGCCTGCGCAAACCGCATCTTAATATCTTTTTCCTAACTCAAATTATTAAAAAAAATACTAAACCAGGAAAATTCATATATCCCCATTTAAAAATGCATCGGTTGCTTTCGATAAGAAGGCAAGTAGTAGGCCATGGACACGACAATCGCCTAACAAAAATATTGCCAAGTAACGTCAAACTTTTGTCACACGCAGCCTAATATTGTTGATTGCGTATAATTTGAGTACTTTTTAATCAAAATGCCTCTCACAAATAATGAAGCCGTTGACATGATTGCGATTTATTTCGAGTGTTTTCAAAATGCAGCTATAGCTGCAAGACAGTACGCGGCACGGTATCCAGATCGCCGTCATTACGGGAGAAGAATGTTTCCGCGCTTGGTACAGCGATTACGCGATACTGGAAGTTTTCGTCGTCCTAAACGTCGCAGGCGTCGCAATGGAAGGACCGAAGAAAACATTATCAATGTCTTGGCTTACATAGAATTTGATAGACATGTAGGAACTAGAACATTGTCTCTAGACTTGGGAATAGCACGAACAACTGTTAGAAATATTTTGAAAGATTATAGGTAAATAATTTTATCTTATTCCAAGTATCTTAGCACATACTCTCAAATACACAATTCAGTGTTATTCTGATTATATTATTTTTACGCATATGTTGTTTTTTACTTTTAGATTACATCCTTACCACATAGTTTTGCACCAGGCGCTAAATGAACAAGATTTCGATAATAGATTAAATTATTGTCAATGGATGCTAGGCATGCTTGAGGAAAACAGAAATTTCTTAACGGAAATTCTCTGGACCGACGAGGCTACCTTTAGTAGTGATGGTAGAGTAAACCGTCATAATATGCATTATTGGTCCGCTGAAAATCCGCATTGGTTAAGAGAAGTGCAGCACCAGGGACGCTGGAGCCTAAATGTGTGGTGCGGTATCATTGGGGACAGAATTATTGGACCTTATTTTTTTGATCAAGCTTTAACTGGTAACCGCTTCTTAGAGTTTTTGATCAACGACTTGCCAATTTTGTTGGAAGATGTGCCACTCGAAACTAGGAGAACTATGTTTCTGCAATTAGATGGTTGTCCGGCACATTATTCAATTAATGTCCGAAACCATATTAACGGGACCTTTCGAGAACGCTGGATAGGAAGGGGAAGCCTATTTCCTTGGCCGGCAAGATCTCCGGACTTGACATGTCTTGATTTTTACTTGTGGGGACGCTTAAAAGACATTGTTTTTCAAACTCCACCAACAACACGAATGGATATGGAAAACAGAATTCGAAACTCAATTCGTCAACTATCAGCGGTAGAAATCGAGGCTGCGGTTCTGTCGACTCAAGAAAGACTGGAACAATGTGTGGAATATGACGGAAGGCAATTTGAACACAGAAGGCATTAATCTTTTTTCAAAATCGGTCCTTTTCAGGACCACAACTTTATTTAAAAGGAAAATCGCTTATAAATACGAAAACGTGCGACTTAAAATCACAGCACTAAATAAACTGACATTTCTTGTGAATATTTTAGAGAGGAGTTTGTCTTTTATTTCCATGGCCTACTACTTGCCTTCTTATCGAAAGCAACCGATGCATTTTTAAATGGGGATATATGAATTTTCCTGGTTTAGTATTTTTTTTTAATAATTTGAGTTAGGAAAAAGATATTAAGATGCGGTTTGCGCAGGCTTATTGGTTGGTCATTTGTCTATTTTCTAGTCTAAAAAAAGTCATATCATCGCATTTAAATTTTTTGAGAAAATCCAATATTTTGGTTATAATATCGAATAACGCCCTCTATCGGCGGCCGTGTAGGTCGCAACTGTCATGATTACGAGAAACCTAAAAGCCCAAGAAATGCTCTTTTCAATGATACCAAATTTATCCAAATCCATTAAGCCGTTTCGAAGTTACAGGCATTTATTTAAAACAACATTCAAATACCCCCCACCACTTTATTTCGAAAGATAGAGAAAAATTGTTTTTACAAAAAATGTTCGACTTTAAGTTAACATTAAAACGCAAATACTTTTTTGTTACATTCATTGGGGAAAATCGCGAGAAACGTAACTTTATGTAATTCAAGATGGTGGAAACGCCCACTGGCGGCCATCTTGGAAACTTGAAAATAATTTCCAGCATTTTCCCTTGCCCACTTTACCTATAAAATTTTTTACCGTAGCTCTCTACGATCATTAGTTTCTGAGATACAGCCGCTTACCTCGCTTATTTGCCCACCCTGTACATATAAGAGACACTAGATATAATATGAAGCTTCATATTATATCTAGTGAAGTATTTACGGTTAACTTTGATCGGTTATAACTACTAACTAATTGACCAATCGATCTGGATTTTTTTAAAAAGAAGTGTCTTTCCAAGAACTTTTACAACCTGCTTTAAAAAATTTGATTTGATTGAATATTCACAAAGTTATTCTAATTGTTTATAAGTACAAAAATTCGACCAATGTTTAAACAAGCGCCAGAGCTCTCCTAATTGACGGATTCGAATTTTTCAAAAAAAAGTTTGAAAGCTTGAGAGCCCTTCTATATGTGATTAAATTTTCAAGTATCTAAGGGCTTTGGTTTTTGCTGTGCAAAATTTTGAAAATTTGCAATTTTTTTCCAAAATCTGGATTGCAAAATTATTATGCAAAATCTATCGAACCGATTTTGATGAAATTTGGTGTGATGATTCTACATGATATGAAGTTTTCTTGAGCCAAGTATAAAGGTCCTATACCAAATTTAAATACCCCAAAAAAAATTCCCTAAGAAGTATTGTTTTTGACCCCTTCTTGCTATTTTTTCGATTTTTACCATAATAATCATGATTCATTCGACTTGTAACTAGTCATGTTTTGTAAAAAATTTAATTACAAACATTTATTCCTCTTCCATTTTCGCCTAAAATCAACTCTTGAAAAGATACATAATTAAATACGAAGAAAAATACAGTGCTTTCGAAAAGTAATGAATAAATTCATTATTTTTTAAATTGAGACGTTTTCGAAAAAATCACCTGGCACGTCGATTTTGTTTTTAAAAAAGGCACTTATTGACATACGACCCATATTTGTGACGTCATCGTTGTTCGAAATATGACGTCATCGACAATTTTTTTAAATAGCAACCCCCAATTTTAACCATGCCATTTGAAAGAGCGTGTCATTCTACATACACAGATCATGAAAAATTATGGTGTTACATAACAAAAATTTCTAGAAAATAATGTTTGAAGATTTTAAAATTTAATTTTCACAATACTGAAAATGATAATGATTATGTAAAAATCGACTAAATGGTGCACCTCCCCATTATGCAACACCTGTCCCTGCTGATTTAGATGAGCTGTTCCCGAATCGTTAGATAGGGAGAAGGGGGCCGATTGAGTGGCCAGCCAGATCGCCTGATTTGATACCCCTAGATTATTTCTTCAGGGGATACTTAAAAAGCAAAGTATACGTTACTAGACCGGTTAATTTAGAAAATTTAAAAGCAAGAATTAGTCACGAGATACATCGTATACCTCCTGAAGTTATTGATAATGTCCAAAGAGAATTTATTAATCGTCTTGGCTACTGTCAGGCAGCCAACAGTGCACAATTTGAACATTTAATTTAGTCGATTTTTACATTACATCATTATCATTTTCAGTATTATGAAAATTAAATTTTAAAATCTTCAAACATTATTTTCTGATGATGTGACGTAATTCGCTCTGATTGATGTTCAACCTGTCAAGGCGGTTTGCTGTATTTTGTAGTTTTATTTTATCAAAAATATTATCAATCTCGCTCATAATATAAAAATAAATACGTTTTTTAAAATCCATGAATCTTATTTCGTTAGATAAATACATAATTTTAGTGATTCTTGGTTACTGTCATCATGCCTAGTCAAGGCGTAATATGGACCAAATCATTCATCTCACTTCATGCGTTGTAGATTACCTTTCTAGAATCATAGCAAAATGTTTTCAAAAAGTTTTCCTCTACAATAGTGATTAACCCAGAAGCTTAAAAAACACAAAGCTACCTAATATACGAGGTTTGATTAAAAAGTAACGGGATTTTTCAAATTGTGCGTTTTGTATCTTGTCTAAGGAGTTGAATTTGTCTTCATTTGAGTAAAGAACTATTTTTGACTTATGTTAACATACTTCTAATAATGTTAAACTTCAAACTTGTTTGTTTTTAAAGCCTTCTCAGACAGAAAACTTAAATATCGTTGGTATTTCGAAAATTTTATATTCCGCAAATCTACACAACACAAAAACTAATAGGTAAAGTATATACTTTTGGAATGCATTTTTAGCCCTCTTTCCGTTTTTGAAATAAAATGTGTGTTCCTTATAAAAAAACACAAGTTATGGTCATATCACAAAAACTAAAAATATCACATTTATTTTTATGCCATTAAAGGTATCTCAAATTTTCAAACCGTTTTAAGATATCCTGAAAGGGAAACGAGAAAAGGGCACCAGTCGGTTTAGCCAAAAGTCGAGAAACGCCCTGTAGCACGAAAATGGTAACAAATAGAGGGATGCAGTTTGCGCCATTGCTATTTTCTCGAAAAAAGTGCTCGGGACTCATCTATCAGATTTGATCCCGGTACAATGTTGAAGTAATTTGTTTGTCAACGTATTCATTGTAAATACATACTCATAGGTACTCATTCTGGATAATTTTAAAGCGCTTCAAATATTTTATAGTTCTAAAGACAAATTATAATTTATATTTTAAATACCTATATTCTTAAATTTTTGTACTTAATAAATCTATAATGTTGCAGCATATTGCATATGCTATACCTACTAATGATTTACAATAGCAAATTAAAATTTTTTCTTATAAAATCGCTTCTCAGAGCTAATGTGAAAATATGTCACGCTGTTTCATAATACTCCTCAGTATTTCAACTTTCATTTACATTCTTAATTCAATTCAAAATATTAACTTTAGGGCTATGTAGGACCTATTTAGGTTAAAATGTTATCGTAGTCTCAAAACTTGTAGACTTAAGACAAAATTATGCGTGCATTCTGGCTTTCTTTATGTTTTTGCTAACAACCCACTCATTTACAAAAAAAAATAGAACATATCGAATTTTTGTTTCAAATATATCAGTCGTAGTTTAGTATAGTTTCAGCATAGTTTTTACTATTGTTAAATTTTAAAAAACTTTATGGTTTTCAAGAAAAACCATATTAACTGAAACTAGATTTTAGAAAATAATCGAAAATGGCAATGAATTTATCTTTCAAACTTGTCAGTAATAAAATTATTTTATTTCAACAATTGTTGAAAAAATATCAATTATTATTCATTTATATTTGTTACTTAATACAATATTCGCTTATTTAAAAACTACCTAGGTACTTGTTTTCTTTTTGTAGAATTAGGAAAGAAGTGAAGTAAAATTTATTTGGCCAATTGTCAAATTTGAAAGATAAAGCCTACTAAGTACTGACTTTTTGATTACACCACCACACAAAAAAAGTTGTCTGAAATGTACATGCGACATATGATTTCCGATGTATTTTCGCTCGTTGAACACGAATCCGGAGTCAGAATTGCTCCATCACCCTTCAATTTTCAGCAAAACGCTGAAGAATCTTCTGAAAAAGGAAAATTTTCATTTTCATCCGGATTCGTGTTCAGCGGGCGAAAATACATCGGAAATCATATGTCGTATGTCGCATATACATTTCAGACAACTTTTTTTTTGTGTGGTGGTGTTATTTTCTAATGAACACTAGATCTTGTGTCAGTTAATAAGGGTTTTCTTGAAAACCATAAAGTTTTTTAAATTTTAACAAGAGTAAAAAAAATTAAATTAAATTCTGCTGTGAATTAAATTACTATTTTCCAATTCGGTCAATGAAAACATAGTTCGGTACAATTTTTAACTTTAAATCATAGTCAAAGAAGACCAGTAATAAACCTAAATCATGTACCAAATTTGGTTCTTCTACGGTAAAGTGTTGCAGAGATATTAATTTCTTTTGAAATTTACTGCCCCATTTTGGGGGCTAATAACTCCTCAGGGGTGCATCTTTGTATATAGGTAAGTTTGGTTAAATTACAATATTTTGGACATCTCTACATACACGTGTCGGTTCTTATGCGGGACATCCTTGTATATGTTGGCATAATAGGAGCGGATACAAAACTTGCACTAATTCCGTAGTACCTACCTATGTTAAAAAATGTCACCTTTTTTGCTCAGTCTGATTTTAAGCTTATATCAATTCTGTTACCAGGAAAATCTGTTACGGGGAGTGTATTGAGGAAAATGGTGATTTCATATCGTCCAGTATAAAGCGAAGCATTCCGTTGATAACGCAACAATTTTACATATTAAAACATTGATATTAATATGTATTCAAAATGCGAAAATCGAAATATGTATGACAAAATGTTGCACCATTAATTTTTTATATAATAAAGTGGCATGCTTACCATATTTCTTAGGAAAATGAGGCTGGCAGTTTATCCACGTGTATAATAAATTTTCGACATGCGGAGATCTATCTTCATCTTCGTTAATTTCGTCCCTTATTATCCGTAATTGATCGTTGGTCGGCGGTATTACAAAACTATCAACACTTGATTCCTGCAATTTTATTTTGAAAAGTTTAATAAAATAATACACCTCGATCGATTATTTCACAATTTTCATTTTTGTTTGGTAACGTCTGATTTCAAAAATTCGCTCACCATATTTTTTAACTTCTCAGTTTATTTCGAATCCGCTTTAACTATAGATTAGTACACTAACCCACAAAAATGCTTAAAATAATAATTTAAACAACTATTTATTTGTAACTTTCCTAACACACAGTCCGCAGCTTAGTAAATATTAAATATAGAAAATCTCGTTTTTATAGTTAATGGAAACAATGTAGTGACCTTGTAAACACAGGCCAGGAAAGAGGAATAAACTTTGTTTCTTTACCACTGCATAATGCACTCCGACTTTTAAAATGACACGTCTTTTTATACGTCATCACGTCTAATTAATGATTTTCTGTCTTTATTAATAAATTTACAATTAGTAATTAAAGGCTAAGGCAACAATCTGTAAATGCTCAGTAAACAATTAGAACAAATTAGAAAACAGAACCAATTAGAAAAAAGTTTAGTATTGTATGACACCACTGTATTTCTTTATTTTAACTGAAACACCCTGTATATTTGAATGTATGTATCGCAGAATTTATATGCCACTTCGTAAAGCAAGAAGTTTTCAGCGAAGGTGCTATTTGATATTAATGTACCTTTTTTGCTTTTTTTGTCTTTTTTTTTGGTAGAATGCTAAAGAAAAAAGTTTTAAGAAATTGTCTTGTGTTCTCAAACAAGTACATTAAAATAATAATAATAATAAAATTCTCCACCAAGCTAACTTTTGATACGTTACGTGAGGTGTTTTCATCATTGGTATGTAAATGAATTTATTTATATATATTTTTACAATATTTCAAAAACGGGGCTTAATCATATTTAAACTGTTATACGATGATTAAACTAGAAAGAAAAATGTAGGGTTATATCAATATTGTTGAAAATTAAGAGTCGCCTTATAGCTCGAACACCATAAAGCGCTAAAAGATACCACCCTGTGTATATTTCCACCACTCAAAATTATAAAACAATTTAAAAAACCGCCAAAAATGCTACATCAATAACACTACCAAGTCATTGTTATAAAGTTTTCTTTTTTTTGCCTGTGAAAATCATATTTATTTATTTTTTTAACTTAGATCACCATTACCAGTCACTTCAATGAACGTGAAGTAACTAAAACTATTCGTTCTGCAAAGATCTTTTTTTCTTGTAAAATCATATTTCCAAAAAGTCTATTAACTTTTTTGCGAAATGAGTACATTATTTTAGGGTTACTGTAGCTCTTGCTAATGACTATAAAAAAAGGAAATAACTGGAAAATGGTCATTTTTTTTCGAATGACACTAAAGTAACAAATAGTGACTTCCGGTATCTCCGCTTTATACATATACACATTAAGCAAATTGTTGCCTATATTAAGTTTTATCACTAAAGATGTTGTTTTTACTACTGGTGACGAAGCATCAACTACTTCACATTTTAACATTTTGTAACATATCATGTACATGTCTGCCTTTGATGTGAAGCTTCGCATCGATCAATTTATTCGATACGTATCTAGCGGCACCGTAATGCCCGCCTGCCTAGCTGGCGTGGCGGTGAACAATCCAAGTTTTTTGCTGAGGGACGTTAGCCGTGCATTTCATTGCCATTTGTGCGTGTGAGTGAGTTTGACGCTTTGCTTGGTCGAGTGTACGGCACATGTTTTTATGGCAGTCAGTAGCATTGCGTATCGTGAGCATAGAGCGGCACACGGCTTGACTACAGATTTAGCCTAATTTTGCTACTTCAGCGCGTATTGCCTCTTACTAGCATAATATAGATTACTGCTGTTTATTTATTTTATTATTGCCACAAAGTTTCTGGTGTCTGCTTTATCACTTTACGTAAAGCACCTTGATATATATTTTACAAAATGTGATTTTGTTTTGATTTCAACACCCGAAATTCCGAAAATTATGAATTTGTTCAAAATATTAATGAATCATCCTGCGTAAATAATCACTAATCAGTTACAACGTAAACGTAATGATATACAGGGTGCGGCATTAGTGCATCAAAGTACGATATCACCTTTATTATAGAAGATAACAAACAAAGTTATATACAAAAATTATAGTCAACTTAAAACTGCACATTTTAAAATTATTTTTGTATATACAGGGTGTTACGTATTACCAGGGTGAACCAAACATACTATTTTTTAAATGGGACACCCTGTATATTATTTCAAATTTAGATTAAGCTCGTCTCACCCAATATAGGGTTTAATTATGTTATACAGGGTATTTCAAAAGTTATGGTCAATTGTATACGAGAATCATTCCCATTTTAGCGTCCTGTCTACCTTAGACAGAACAACTTAACAATAATTTTTTGCAGGCATAACTTTGTGATATTGGTACAGTTTTACGAGAAAGTGCTATTTCTGTATTATTGCAACAGTTGAATATAGGGCGAGCCAAAACTGGAGCCCATAATTTTAAAAAAAATCACCCTGTATTTTATTTTAAAAACAGAAAATACGCTTTATGTTCTTTCATTTTTATTAAGGATTAATTAAATAATCTAAATTTGAAATAATACAAAGGGTGTCCCATTTAATAAATAGTATGTTTGGTTCACCCTGGTAATACGTAACATCCTGTATATACGAAAATAATTTTAAAATTTGCAGTTTTAAGTTGGCTACAATTTTTGTAAATAACTTTTTTGGTATCTTCTATAATAAAGGAGATATCGTACTTCGACGCACTGTTGCCGCAGCCTGTATTTATGATAGAATGTGCGCTTATGCTGAAAACGGTTCAATATTTCTATCGATAAATGGAAAACATTGGTAGCTATAACTTCGAATAACATAGCTTTTACTCAAACCAGATTTGATAGAAAACAATAAAGTTATGAGGAAAAGCTGATTTTCAGTTCTCAATTTCAAGTACAGGGTGAGTCCGAAGAAAAAAAATACAAATATCAGGCGTAATTTTCGTAAGACTTACCAAATCGCAAGATTGCCCACCTTTTCCTGGACACACTTTATACATTTATGGATAATGGAAAATTAAAGTTGAAAACCAAATTCAAATGAAAATGAAATAAAATCAAACTGTAACACCCTGTATCTCGAAAATAACGTATTTTGTTGGTTTGTATTGTAGAATCTGTCATTAAAACTGGCTAAGCATTTTAGTTAGCATAAGACAAGGCTCTTAAGACAGAACAGACTTCAAAGGCTGGTCGAAGGAAAAGGCTATTGTCGTAATTGATCCTCATGATGTACGAGTACGTCCTTTGATTCCCTAGGTTAAAAAGTAATAGATCTCTTTTTGTTGTGTCTCTTGTTACTAGCAACCTCGTATTCTTTATTCATATGTAAAACCCATTTCGTTCGAGTGAAATTGATTTCTGTGCGTGGGTGCTTCCGTATTTCAAAAGCGAGGTGATTTTAATTTCCGACAATTTCTCGAATCAGACACGTGCGTGTGTGATTTTGTTTTGTCATTAAACTCTTGGACATGTTTTGTGAACCATTTGTTTATTATCGTCGACGTATTAATAGTGCGGCTATTAAGAAATATGCAATTAATTCGGTATTGCTTTGCAAACGTGATTTGTATTTAGTTCCTTAATCTATTGTTAATTACAATAAGACACGTGGGGTTTGTGATGTGACAAGTAGAAAATAATGTTTAAAACATTGTACCGTTGCAAATTGAGTATTATTTTAAAATACTGGCTAGTGTCACTACTCATTAGATAATCATTTAGTTACGCTATACCTATTTAAATTTAATAGTTTTTTTGCATGCGGGTTCCACAAAGGAGTGCGCAAGTAAGAATCATATAAAAGTTTGTATGTACAAAGGTGAGTTCATAATTAGGCGTAAGAAGTTTGACCGAAACTTCTTCCCGTCAAAACGAAATAATTGATCAAACAAAAATTTCCTTCAAAATGCCTCTTTACAAAGATACATTGTGTTGAAATTCGTAAAACAAATACATTGGCCTAACAGATTGTTTTGGTGTAGTAAATGTCACTCTCAATTGCCATTCTCTTGCGAGGAACCAATAGCAAATAGTATACTAAACGTCAATGACGTGTAATCACCACTATGGTGAACTTTAAAAAAAAATGTTGCGCCACTGACTAATATTCGAAATAATCTATTTTTTAGATTTATCTTTCATTTTATTACAATAAAGCATCCTTACATGTTTTCAGTAAATGCTCCAGTAAAAAATAGTACGGATTTACAAAAATAATTAATCAAGTAATACCTCTCTACTAGACATCATTATGCTAGTAAGCGGCAGTACGCGTTGTATCAGCAGAAATAGTCTAAACCTGCGGTCAAGCCGTGTACCGCTCTATGCTCACGATACACAATGCTACTGACTGCCATAAAACACGTGCCATACACTCGACCGTCAAACTCTCTCACACATGCACAAATGACAATCAAATGCCCGGCCCACTTTCCTCAGCAAAAATCTTGGATTGTTCACTGACACGCCAGGTCAACAGGGCAGATATTCCGGGGCCGCTAGATACGTATCGAATGAATTGATCGATGCGAAACTTCATATCAGAGGCAGACATGTACATGCTATTGTACAATGACGCGGATAGTGGGATTACTAAAATGTGAAGTAGTTGATGCTTCGCCACCATTAATAAAAATAGCATAATATAAAGACTTCGATTATTTTAGATATACGTCTGTGACCTTGTTAAATGTTGAATAATTTTCGTTTTTGAAATGGGTATTTACCGATCGGCGGAGACGATTAACCGCGAAACACTTAGGATAACTTTTAATAAAATTATTTTCTACAATCGCTTTCCTTATGAGTAAGAAACTATTATTTTGGTGGTGCTTTGACCAATTATTTCGTTTTGGCGGGAAGTTTCGGTTAAATTTTTTATACCTAATTATGATTCACCCAGTATAAACCTTAATTTTTTTACATACAAGTTGTGAAAATGTGCACCTACCACAAATTGAGCGACTGATATAACATCAAAAACTAAGAAAACTGCCTATGATACATGTTTTTTTTTTTTGAGATACAGGAGTCAAAGAAAAAAAGCAGCATAATGTATTGAAATCTTATGTAGGTAAGTTTTTGACCATCTGCTAGAGGCAGGGGAGGTAGAAGCTATGACCTTACCAGTGATATTTTATGTCATAATTTTATTGATGCTACGTT